ATTAAATATTTTACTAGTCTAATTATGGTATTTTTGAAGTTTATGATGCTAAGATGAAGCATCTGGAACTACTAAAGAATCTTGCTGAAAAGGTAAAATTTTAATTTTAATTAATTAAAGGGACTAGAGACGTAATTTTAAGTGCTTGTTCATATTTAGGATGTTCCGATTCAACAATGGTTTATGGTATATATGCTTAGCAGCTTAATAGCGTTGTTTTCTCTCTGAAAATTGATTTTCTTCAATTGTATTTCTTGATAAAGTGAATTGCGTATTTCTGCTTCAGAAAATGTCAGAATTTAAAACTTCAACTTCCATGGTTTAAAAAAAATTCTATCTTTAAAATTATTGGTTTAGATTAAGGGTTTGAAGGGTACCTTTGTAAATCGTGCATGGCCCAGCTCAAATAGAAGGTCACTTGAAATTACAACTTTTGTCCCAAAGCAGAATGATGTAATTTATTTATTTATTTATATAAGAATTCAATTGCTTGGGTAATTGTGGAAAAAAGAATAAATAAAGTACTTTCTTTAACTCTTACTGGGTTCTCCAAATAAAATATAACTCTTCAATAAAGTATTGCAAAAGAATGAATTTCAGACAACTGGATGTTTTTGTTTAAATTTTTTATGGTTGCTCCCCAAAAGTGTGATGCACATTTTTTGCTTTAGAAACAATTAACAAATTATCATAATTAAACAATGTTCTCCTCCACATAGTTGATCAGATTAAGGTTTAAGGACCTTTGTATATTGTGCATGCCCGTTTTTGTAATGGCACGTCATTTTAAATTATGACTACAACAATAAACAACATTGTAATGTCCCCATTATTTACCATATAGAACTTACAGTTGTCTATGGCACTCGGAAGAGAGCAGACCTCTCTTATAGCGGTCCTGGCTTTACAGTTTGGGGGACTGCTTTGTTTAGCTGGACATCTTGTATCCTTCAGGGGAAGTAAGGAATCTACATAAAATAAATCAAGACTTCATCTTCAGTCTGAAGATTCCTCTCAATGGGGCTCTAGGGCTTACAACTCCCACTTTGCCTAAGGGGTGCAGTTATGGGCTTTCCTTAAAATGACCCTTAACTAGGAAAGAAGGAATAAAGAGCAATCCACTTTGCCTAAGGGGTGCAGTTATGGGCTTTCCTTAAAATGCCCCGTAACTAGGAAAGAGTATAACAGAAGGAATACGGAGCAATCCCCTATACCCTTCCTCCTACAAACTTCCTAACCTCTCTCCTACCTGCTCCAAAACTCGATGTCACAAGAACTAATTGGAGAGGCCTCAAGCGTAGAAACAAGAAACAAGAAGAAAAAAGAAAATCTGTCAGGAAAAGGAATAAAATGGAAGGTAACCTATTATGTCAAGGGAAGGAGACTTCCCCCCCCCCCTTCTAATTATTCTACCCTGCTTATAAATCCTAGAATATTATGTTTAAAAGTTGCTGTGATTGCACCACACATGCAAACATTCCAGAGTTCAGAAAAAAGTTAGATGCAACTCAAGAGCAAACAATTCAACATAGTGTACCTAGGAAGGAAAGCAAGATCCTCAGCTAGTTCAATTAAATACTTGGTTCAGAAAAAAAAACAAGATCTTTATTAATAGTTTTTTCTTGTAAAGTGGCGAACTACTAGGACATCCAAAAAAAATGTTTTCTTTTTATTTTCAAAAGTAGCCGAAATATGATCGAAAGATGTACGAACAAGAAGAAAATGAAGAACAAGAAATTTAGAAAACTCAAAATATGACCATCTGATATCATATAAATATTTAAATTATTGTAAAATTTAATTGAAATAAATTAAAGTTTAAAATCTTATAGAACTTAGAACTCGTTTTTAATAGTTAATTAAAATCCAAGGCATATTAATATACCTTGAACCTCAATGATGGTTCTGAGGCCTCTTTCCAATGACATAGCACGGGACCCCCCCCACCACCCTCCCATCGTTTAACTTCGTTCTCAGCCTCTCTACTTTTAGGTTAAGTCTGGGGAAAACAGTTCAACTTCTTGTTCATTTTAATTTTAATTTAGGATCGAGAGATTGCCGAGAAAGATGTGGCAATAGCGCGTCTAAACACAGTGATTGCTCAAAAGGAGGCAATCTTCACACAGAAGTTTGCGCAAGCGCAGCACTTTATTATTCAGCTGACCGCCAAACTTGAGAATTTGGAGAAGAAGGTAGAAATGAACGATCTTGCTAATGTAATTTGATCATAAAACTTACTTATCTCATTTTTAAAAAATACCAGTTAAAAAAAGATAAAAAGATATCTCAATTCGGTCTGAAAGTTCCATTTTACTTTAATTTATTAGAATATAAACAAAAATGAGCATTAACAGCTAAGAATAAGCAGTAATAGTAAGGAAAATAAACCAGTGTAAAACAAGTTCTCACTATAGGTTTCTAGGGTACACCAAAATATATCTAGAAAAAATTATAGGACAAGGGCACAACACAAAACGCATTTAATCAAACTTGCGGGTAAAGCAAAAAAAAGACTCTAAAAATGAACTAAAAACAGGTTTACTGAATTCGGGGATCTATTGTACTATTTTTTTGGTATGTGTTTGCTTTCGCTCACAACTCTAAACTAAAATAAAAAGTAATACCAATTGTAAAAAAACTTATCTCGATAAAAGAAAAAAAATTCTTAGAACTGCTTCTTTTATTTGAACCATTTAAAATGTAAATATGACCAGGAATCCACTGCGCTTTGCTCTGTCTCACAAAGAAAAATGGCACAATGTAAATAGCGTAGTTTTTAGAAAATTAAATTTAGATTTTTACAAGGAATTGCGATTGTAAAAATAAAGGTAAAACGGGTATTATTGTGAATAATCGTTATAGGGTTCCTTTCACAACCTCTTTAATAAAGGATGTCGGTGGGGCAGGAGCCAAGAAAAGGTTAGGAGTTAAGGCTAGAGTTGGCCTGAATATCATGAATAGGTAACAATCAATGTTTTCATTCTTTGGAACCAGTTTTTAACAGTTGATTAAGATTTGTGTTTTGAAGAGCAAAAAGTCAAATTTGGTTCTGGTACTTTGCCCCTTGGATCTAGACCATGTTGGATCCGCATGTTTTGGATTCGGTTCCATGAAGCCTAAATATTGCGGATCCGGTTCCTAAGGACTGTTGGAACTAATCATGGTCCAAAGTTTTTTGATGTTTTTTGTTGATATTGGTATTGACGGTTCAGACCAAAACTAATAACGATTTTTGAAATAGATAACATATTTGAAAAAAAAACATTTTTTAAATCCAGTACGACTAAAAAATTAAAAACGAAAAAAATCACGCTTTTCGATTTAAATTTCTTATCAAAATCATCGTTTTAATGTTTCCAAAAATTATTTCTGAAAACAAAACAAAAGCTCGTTCCTAATTGATAATGTGGTGCCTCTTAAAATCTATTGACAACACTCGTTATAAGAAAAATCAAACAGAACATGCTGTGCTTGCAGTGTGCAATGTGAATGCACTGCTACTGTACAAAGTGTGTTTTATGTACTTGTACGTAATAACGATTTTATTTACTAGGTTAGGAGAACCCTTTGAGGAGGTGGGGGTTCATGGGCGGAAGGGGCAGGTAGGTTATCATGTATTCTAATATATTTATTTTGAAGAAATAAGTTTTAGATTTGGATAATAAATCATAATTTTGATCAATTATACTCCTTTTATATCAGTTCAATTCAATGCAAATTGTATAAGGTTGGATTTATTGCTTCCTATAAATTTTGTTTAAAAATCGTTTTGAATGCTAAAAATGACACTAAATCAAGATAAAAAGAATGTTACAAATATATGGAGCAAAATTAGCTATTTTTTGGTTTAAAATAATTGATGTTGTTGGTCAAATGTATTGTTCTCTTTTTCAGAGAAAACTAAGAAAAATTTGAGAACAGTATAAGGTTAAAAATGGAAGTTATAATTTTCAATCAAAGCTTGAGAGATCTAACAGTTATCCAGGAAATTTGAACTATAAAAGACGACTTATATAATCAAATTGGGTTTATCAATAGATATTCTAAATAATTTGAAAAAAATCTACATAAAAGAATGCTTTCATTTCTCAACAAAAACTTTTTTTAATCAAATCAATTTTGCCATTTTTTGCCATGACGTTATGTTATGCAAGCAAATACTTAACATTTAAACTATATTTTCAGCGCACTAAATAATAATGAATCTGTTTCACTTGTCATGCTAGATATTTCTAAAGCTTACGACTGTATTGATTACAAGATACTTCTGAAAAAGCTTGGAAAACCCAGGAATCAGGGGCAACATATTACAATGGTTTGAATCTTACTCGGGAGGGGGCAAGAAGTCGATATAAACGGTACCTTATCAGACTTTTTCTAAATATTAGAGATGGGTCTTGTTCAAGGATCAAGTCTAAGCTGTTTACTGTTTATTATCTATGCAAATGACTTCTTCCAATCTAACAAATTTTTCAGTGTAGCCTTTGCCGACGGCACAAATGTGGCATCAAAATGTCAAAACTTGAATACTCTTGCAGACACAAAAAATAAAGAATTAGAAAAAAACTTGTTGGTACATGGTTAATAAACTTACTTATAACTTTCAGAAAACCAATGCAATTAAATTTTCAAATTCTCTAAATGCACAAAACGACTGTCCCGATGTTTTCTTTAAACTAGGAGAAACTACATGAAAAATTGAACGCATAAAAGAAACAGATTCAGTTAGAATATGGCTGGATACTAAATTGAACTTTAATGACTATTTTAAAAAGATATACAGGCTATTAACTTTTTCATTTAATATGCTATGAAAAAAAAATAAAAACTTCTTAAGCTTTGAAACCGTTAAATTGCTTTATTACTCATTTTTCCACTCTCATTTAGAATTTAGTTCAACATTTTTAATGCTAACTTCAAACAAAAATATTTATAAGATAGAATCATTGCAAAAGAAAGCTATTCGTCTATTGATAGGGTCGGAAGCTTTTTGGGCTTTGAACATACTCCCCTTTAGAAAATTAGGAATTTTTATTTGAATTTAAAAGAGACCAATTACCCCAAACATTAGAAAAGATTTCATATTATCAAAAAATATCAAAAACGCAAATCTTAGAAACAGAAATAATTTTTATATTCCTAGAGTAAAATCTATTGAAATTGGACTTCTTCCTCCTCACAATTTCCCTTAAATATGGTGTGAAATACGGCACTTCTCTAAGCTTTCAAACGTTAACCTTATTTCGAATTTTAAGCAGAATGAAATTGAAGATTTGTATCAGCAGAACAAATGTTTTAATTCTAATCCATGCTATGTTTGCAAAAGAATCGAAGAAAGCAAAGACGATTTTACAAAGATAAAAAGAGTAAAAGATATAATCAAACATATAAAGGATGTCAAAAATCTGCGCGAACTAAAAAGATGCGTAAAAATGCCCGTTTTGCGTTATAGAACCTATATCTTTTTCACAGTCCATAAAGCCTATTTTGAATATTTTTTTAAACAACACAAATATATCTATAATTTTTATTGCTAAAAGTTGTTAGTTCATCTTCGAAAAATACTAACAATCCACCACCAATTTATATTAAATATAATGTAAACAATAAATATGTAGCTTTCCTATTCCTATCCTTTTTTTATTTTTTTAGAATCGGGGGGGGGGGAATATTCCCTTAACCTCTAATTTTGAAGGTTTTAAAACATTTTTTTCTCCTGAAACACTTGATTTTGTATTTTTTTTTTATACTTCATAAATGATTGATTACTAACTTACTACTTACTATTAAGGGTGAAACTATTATATCGAAAACATCAATGCACGGCAAATTAGAAGCAACATTTAAAAATCAAAGAAATTATAAAATCAAAACTAATTCAGAATTGAGATTTTAATAACAGATCATAAAAAGATGCGTCTTGAACCGCTCAATACCGTCAATGTGTCCGTATTTCTATATTCAAAAATTGTTTTTTGAAAGCTAAAAACTACTTTTTTATATAGCTTACCATTAAAAAGGTCTTTTCTTATCATTTGCTTAATTATCAAGGAATTTATTTTTTATGAATTTAACGTTTCTGAACTTTGTGTTTCAAGATGGATATTGTGATACCCATCTTGATTTATTTTGACAAAATTAGTGTGTGGCTTTCATTAGTGATTTGCCTTGTACAAAAAGGTAAAAATCTGAATGAGTTTGAAAACTAGCTTTTTTTCTAAATGTATCAAAGAAAACTTTAGAACTGGTGCAAGGTGGATTCGTGCATTTTAATGAAATAAAATGTCAAATTTGTTTCACCCTTAAAGGTAATGTTAGCTAAAAATTAAAGGGGTATAGGTTAACGTCGAAAAGAATTAGTTTAATTATTTAAGATCTGAGTGGGTAAATGCAACTAAGTGAATTTGTATGGACGCTACGCTCTTGGGTGTTCTTAATTTTCTCCCCATAGACTAAACAGATAGAAGTAAACTTAGTAGCGATCGATATCGAATTCTATCCAACGTTAACCTATACCTCCTTTCATTTTACGTGAACACTTCCTTTAATATTTGATTTTTAGTTGGAAAGTGATGAGAACGCTGGGTTTTATGAAGAAAGCAATTTGGACGAAGAAGATATTCTAACAGAGGAATAATTTGATAGAAATCGATAATTTTATTAATTTTTTAGAAATTATTTTTCCTAAAGCTTTTCTTAATACTGTATATGTCTAAAGGATCACACAGAAAAGTCAAATTTAACACCAAAAATAAAAAAGTCTGACTTTACCCCCAATTTGAATTTTTTGAATAATGTTTAAATCGATTATTTTACCAGTTTGGAGAGAATGGACCTGTGCCAGCTAAAAAACGGAAGTAGACCCAGTCACTGGTCTTCCAGTCCAGTTCAAACCAGATTGTCATGCACAATTGTACATAAAGAAGATTATAGAAACAAAAAAATTGTCAAACGTTTTTTTGAAAGTTCATATAGAAGATTATAGAAAAAAAACATTGTTAAACGTTTTTTTGAAAGTTCATAAAGAAGATTATAGAAAAAAAAACATTGTTAAACGTTTTTTTGAAAGTTCACAAAGAAGATTATAGAAAAAAACATTGTTAAACGTTTTTTTGAAAGTTCATAAAGAAGATTACAGAAAAAAACATTGTTAAACGTTTTTTTGAAAGTTCATAAAGAAGATTATAGAAAAAAAAACATTGTCAAACGTTTTTTTGAAAGTTCATATAGAAGATTACAGAAAAAAACATTGTTAAACGTTTTTTTGAAAGTTTTGAATAATCAAAATAAAATAATGAAAATTACTATGACAATTGATCTTTCTCCAGCATTAAAAGCCAGTGTTCAATTGTACTTTGTTGTATAATCTCCGAAATCACATGAAATTGGTTGGTTTGCAGGAGCATAAATATACATTTTCTTGCTGATACATCGTCATGGTTGCACGCCTACAGATAACAGGCACTTTCTGTCTAATTGTTGATACAGGCATTTTCCCTTATAAACAGTCAGCAATGTTTTTGCAAAAAAAAACTCACATTCCAGGGCGTATTGATGTTTATTATACCTAAATTCCAATTAGGAATTCCAGGAACTGCCTTGTGACTTCTGACGTCAACGTTTGCATTGATCTAAATATATTATTCTTAGATAGCAGACCGACCGGAACCTATTTTTAATTCTCGTGTTCAGTGCGGATCCAGCTCTTTGGTGACATCAAGCGAAACTTGCGTGCGAGTGGGGGGGAAGGGGGAGTTTCCCGAAATTTTTCTTAGGAGATAGCATCGAGTATGAGTACAAATATTTTAAGTGCTGAAAATAGAAAATTATTCTTAAAATATGCAAAAATATTGCCACCTCAGAATCGTACTCAGACAGCACAAAAGCATTTTGATATGGGTATTATTAAAATCTGCGTGAGTTCATAGGAATTTGAGTTCAAAAATATCAAAATTGGGAAAGGCTAGGTAAGGTCAAAAAGGTCATATTTTCTGTCCAAAATTTTTTGCTACCCCATAAAACGAAAGGTTTATGGTACATTTTAAATATAACTAGCTGAAGGGCCCGACGCGCTGCCTGTGGGAAAAAAAGAAAATTGGGTTTAATGAACACCCCCGGCCCCCTCTGAGTGTCCACAAAAAAATTCAGCCCAATCGGTCCAGCCGTTTGGCCGGCTATAGACAACATATACATATACGAATGTCTTGTTT